TAGTGAAAATAAAAGAAATACTTTAAGCCTCTCCAAAGGCAGATGCCAAGAGAATCAGTATGTTTTGCCCACAATACTGATATTTCCTATGAATAACTTTTAAACAATTTTTAGTTAATTAATAAATTAATTTATTTAGACAGGGACTTGCTCTGTCACCCAGGCAGGAGTGCAGTGGCATGATCGCCACTCACTGCAGCCTCAACCTCCCAGGCTCAAGTTATCCTCCCACCTCAACCCTCCGAGTAGCAGTAATTCCTAGTAGTAGTAATCCCATAGGACTACAGGCATATACCATCATGCCTGGCTAATTAATTTTTTTTTTTTTTAAAGACAGAGGTTTCACTATGTTTTCCAGGCTGGTCTTGAGCTCCTGAGCTCAGGTGATCTTTTCACCTCAGCCTTCCAAAATGTTGGGATTACAGGCGTGAGCCACTGTACCTGGCCAAAACAATTTTTATTTATCTTATTTTTATTTTTTTTAGAAATGAGGTCTTGCTATGCTGCCAAGGCTGGAGTGCAGTGGCCATTCACAGGCATGATCATGGTGTTCTGCAGCCTCCAACTTTTGGTTAAAGGGATCCTCCTGCCTCAGCCTCCCAAGTAGCTGGGACTACAGATATGCACCACTCCACCCAGCCTCAACTTTTAAAAATTAGGTATTATTTATTTATTTATTTTGAGACGTAAGTAAATATGCTCTGTGGATAGTAGTCTCAGGCCTGTTGTGTTAACCCTTTTCTGTACATTATTTGTACTAAATATCATCCTCTAAAGTGAGGCTGTTGGGAAATAGGGTGGTGTGGGTGTGTGAATGAGGGGGATATGAAGAGGGTGGGACTTTGTGCCCACCTTCCCACTTTTCTCTTTAATAAACAGGATTCTATGGAACATTTTGTATGTAAGAAAGGTATGGCTATTAAAATAAAGTTTAAAGGCCGCTCCTTTAAACAATGAAATGAATTTCAAGCCAAAGATTGATAAAATCACATGTGGATTTTAGTAAGATCAGCCCTAGAGTTGGTGGAAGATATTTTACAGATCGTGGTAGTGGTAAATTTGGCACAGTGGTGGCGATCAGAGTCATACATCAGTACGTGGAGGCTATGCATTGATTTGACCTAAAATAGTGGGATATCTTGAAGGGAGTGGCCCGCAGGTCAAAGCTGGATTAAAAGATTTTCTGATTTGCAATTGGTTAAGGAAACAAAGCTTTGTCTAAAAATTTGGGGTCAACAGAAAAGAATGTTAGCTCTGGCTCATGAGCATAACCTCCTTCAGGCCTCTCAGGAAGAAATTTAGAACAAAGAACAGTGGTCAGAATTCAGTCCTCAGTTCCTCCTTATCTGAGGTCTGTGTCCCAGTGGATCTGTTTGGTAGGGGTTGGAGTTTCTGAAAAACAACTCAGTGACATATATTAAGATGTTATCTTTAGTTTCTATGGAGAACATCTCTAACTTCCTTGGCCATTATTTTGAGTTCCTATTATCTTCTTATCAAGTGACTCATTTACTTCTCAGGGCTAGCTAGGTGTCTAGAATTTCCCTTGAAGGAATTCCAGATTTTTCTTTTCCACATTGAGGGGGCATGGCAGGCCCTAAGAGAGACCCTGCTTCCTTTAAAGGGCTCAAGCTGGGGTGGTAGGATGAGGAAGGAGAGAAGGGAATAAATTAGAGAGTATTTCACATGCAAAATTGAGTAGCATCGATGATTGATTGGCTGAGAACCTGGTTGAGGAGTGGAGAACAGGATTGTGGGAGGGAGAGGAATATATCAGTAATCACTCTGAAGTTTCTCCCTTGGTTGACTCCAGAAATCTAAAAGAGGGGGTAGAGAAGAGCGTTTTTCTCTTGTGAGATTCTCAAATCCTGTAACACTAACTGGGTATTCAACAGTTCAATTGGATTCTGACACTCTTTATTTGAAGTGAGCATCAGATCCCACAAGTAAAAGGGCTCAGTCCCACAGAATGCCCCCATTTCACATGCCAGCTGCAAATGGGGTGCACAGGCTACCAACATATCTACCTGGCAACTACAAATTCGGGAATTCCCATAACCTTCCTCCCCTTTAGATTTGATAATTTGCTAGAATAGCTCACAGAACTCAGGGAAAAATTTTGCTTATGCTTACTGGTTTGTGATAAAGGATACAACTCAGGGAGCCCAATAGAAGAAATGCCTAGGGGGATACCTAGAGGTTGAACGCACCTAGATGTGTTCGCCAACCAGAAGCTCTCCAAGTCTCCTTGAGTGTTTACAGAGCCAATCTCTAGCCCCACCTTCCTGGGGTCAGTGCATGGGGCTGCAAGTTCCAACCTTCTACCTACTTGGTCCTTCCGGCTACCAGCCTCACCCTAGAGTCACCTCCTTAACATAAACTCAGGTGTGATGCAATGAAAAACAGAAAACACTCCTATTACTCAGGAAATTCCAAGGGTTTTAGGAACTCCGTGCCAAGGAACAGGGACAAAGATGAAATATATTTCTTATTATGTCACACTGGCAAATATCTCAAATTGCCGGGAACATTTAGGGACTTTCAACCTGCATCTCCAGCTTCAACATTGAACCCAAACCTTATCCTGGTGCTGTAAGGCCCAGTGTTCCAGAATGCCCTTAGATTCTCTTTTACAGGCCTTAAGCACCTATATCAGTTAGGGTACAACTTAGGCTTCTGTAACAGAGACCCCAATTACACACTATTTATTTATTTTTATTTTTATTTTTTTTGAGACAGAGTCTCGCTCTGTCGCCCGGGCTGGAGTGCAGTGGCCGGATCTTGGCTCACTGCAAGCTCCGCCTCCCGGGTTCACGCCATTCTCCTGCCTCAGCCTCCCGTGTAGCTGGGACTACAGGCGCCTGCCACCTCGCCCGCTAGTTTTTTTTGTATTTTTTAGTAGAGACGGAGTTTCACCGTGTTAGCCAGGATGGTCTTGATCTCCTGACCTCGTGATCCGCCCATCTTGGCCTCCCAAAGTGCTGGGATTACAGGCTTGAGCCACCACGCCCGGCTATACACTACTTTAAAAGCAAGATAGAAGTTTATTACTCACTTTTTATTTCTTTTGGAGAGAGAGTCTCACTCTGTTGCCCGGGCTGGAGTGCAGTGGTGTAGGTCATAGCTCACTGCAGCCTCAAACTCCTGGGCTTAAGCTGTCCTCCCACCTCAGCCTCTCCAAGTAGCTGGGACTACAGGCACATGCTAATTTTAAGCCTGGCTAATTAAAAAAAAAAATTTTTTTTTTAAATTTCTTATTTTTAGTAGAGATGAGGTCCCACTATGTTGCCCAGGCTGGTCTCGAACTCCTGAGCTCAAGTGATCTGCCTGTCTAAACCTCCCAAAGTGCTGGGATTACATGTGTGAGCCACTGTGCCTGGCCAGAAGTTGATTATTCTTTTACATAAAAATCCAGGTAGGCAATCCAGAGCTGGTTTGGCAGCTCAGCATTGTTGGAGAACCAGGCTTTGTGCATCTTGTTGCTCTGCTTTATTCAACATTCTGTGTGCATCTCATTGCCTCTTCCAGCTGCAGTCATTACACTTTCACTCCAGTTAGAGAGAGGAGAGGAAAAGGGAGCCAGGAGGATATGCCCTTTTCCTTTAATGGGGTATATCAGAACTACACACGTTTCTGCTCATATCCCATTGTTAGAACCTGCTCACATGGCCATACCTGACTGCAAGAGAGGCTAGGAGATGTAATATGTATTTGGGCAGCCATGCATCCAGCTAAAACTTCTATTTAGAAAGGGGGAACAAATAATGGAAGACAGCCGTCCCTATCTCCAACATTCATAGTATATTTAAGGACTTTTCCCCCTCTTTTGGGGAAAACATGGACCTAACATTGTGATTGTTAATTCTTTTCACTAAAGTAATTTTTATGTTACTGTGATAAAGGAAACACAATGTTCAATGAAATGAATAAAATGCTGGCAGAGTACCTTTGGGAAATCTTGTTCTGAAAAATGTGCCAGGTTGCTGCTGTTTATTGTTGCTTCTAAACAGTAGAGAAGGAGTTAGCTGCTCATTAAACGTGCCCCAGATAAGGAATGGAATTATGGTTGGACCTCGCCACAATCATTTCTCTCCCAGGAGAGGCTAAAAATAGGATCAGAACACCACCCTGCTTTGAAGCAGACACTCTTGCTGTGTCTCAACTCCATGTCCAACTCCCTAAAGGTTATGGAAAACAGAAAAACATCTTAGAAGCAGAGGGCTGAAATCGATGTGGTAATATCTGAATGTTGTGTTGTCTTTGGGTAGAGAATTAAGGAGCAGTGGAAAACCCTTGGGACTAATCTTGATGTCTCTGCCTTGGTGCTTAAGAAACAGAATTAGGGCTAAGTCAAAGAAAGGCAACTCTCTTGCTTTGGGAAGGAGATGAGGAGCACCAGTGGCTCTTTTAGTGGACTGGAAGCAAAGCAGAAGCTGTAGTAGGAATAGGCCTTCTGGAAGAGAGGTTACAATTATAGTTTATGGGTTTGGGGTTTATTCCCTTTTGTTAAAATAAAACAATTAGAAATATATTCATTGTTTAATTTTTTTTTTTTTTTTTGAGACCGAGTGTCACTCTGTCACCCAGGTTGGAGTACAGTGGCACAATCTCTGCTCACTTCAACCACTGCTTCCCAGGTTCAGGCAATTCTCGTGCCTCAGCACCCCAAGTAGCTGGGATTACAAGCATGCCCCACCACACCTGGCTAATTTTTGTATTTTTAGTAGAGATTGGGTTTCAACATTTGGTCAGGTTGGTCTTGAACTCCTGACCTCAAGTGATCCACCTGCCCTGGTCTCCCAAAGTGCTGGGATTACAGGCGTGAGCCCCCATGCCTGACTGAAAATGTATTTTATATTATTTTTATCAAAATGACATTTACAAAAACTGCTCAAATAGATGTAACTAGTTAAAAGTTTGAATTTGACCCTTACGAAACATGTAGAGCACTGTGAAATGTATTTAAGAAAGTCTAAAATTTTATATGTTTTTGTTTATAGCCTATACAGTTCAGACATCTGAGAGCATGGCCCCAACTGCCACTTCAGAGACTTACTTGAAGGCTTTGGCCGTTTGCCATGGACCTCTGGACCACTATGATTTTCTGATCAAAGCTCATGAGCTAAAGGATGATGAACATCAAAGAAGAGTCATACAGTGTTTGCAGAAATTACACGAGGACCTTAAAGGATATAATATAGAGGCAGAAGGCCTTTTTTCAAAGGTGAGGCTTGTGTGATATGAAAGATTAAACAGTTAAAAGTGTAAGCATTTTCTAAAATGGATGCAATGCAGTAGGGCACAATCATGAAACAGCTTGAAAAATTTCTGCCAGTTCCTTTACACAAATTCTGTTGGATCCCCATTCCTAGCCTTTTGATGTTCCATAGCTTTCTTTTGCCTTCAGGGATTTGAATAGCTTCATATTTAAGAATTTTAAAAATGCAGTCCAGTCTAGATAAAAACTTCTATGGAAATCAAAGCTTTCCCTTTTCTCTAGCTCAGGTCTCATCCAGGGATCAGCGTGGAAAAGGAGGAGTGATGTGTTCTTTCCCTTTTCTTCCTCCTTCTTTCTCTGTTTGCCTGACATCTCTAGGGTCAGAATGAGAAGAATGAAAGATTAGAGTGAAACAGCAGTCATAAGCGACCAGTTATGTATGGTAGATGCTGACATGCCAGCTCTTTGTTGAGGGTCTTATTGGTGGGTTCTTCAAGACTCCCATGGGGACCTCCACACTTCTCCAATCTTTGACTAACCTCTTATGACTCTGGGGAAGCAACTCACAACCCCGCATTCTCTGACGCCGCCGTGCCCCTGCCCTTAGGCTTCTTGGGTGGGGTCCTTTCAGGACTTTTTTTTTTTTTTTTTTTTTGAGACAGAGTCTCGCCTTGAAGTCCCTGGCCCAAATGGTTCTCCTCCCTCAGCTCCCCTGGAGTAGGCTAGAGCTACAGCATGCACGCACCACGACTCACTAGTTTTAATTTTTG